TATTTGATTATGATTTTATTAGAAGATTTTTATATCAATTCAGTCCTGCCACTTTATTTTCTTTTGTTATAAGAATATGTTGCATGAACTGTATATTTAATGGAAAAATCCCTAGGTTGAATTTAATCAAACTTGTGATAAAATACTGTAATTAAATTGTATAACCACTCACCTTAATGATAACAGCAGCATTAGTGCAGTATGATCCACAAGAAAACTGCTGATTATTAAGAGAAAGACCTAATGTACTATCTTGTGATAATGTGTCTGCCGAGAGCTCACGTACAACATCCTCGTATGGAATTATGGAACTTCCCCTCAACACTGGAGATTCAAAGATGAGGTCCAACAGAAGAGTAAGGTATGGACGAAGTTCTGTTGGAACAGCTACTGTATCCAAGACTGCTATCATCTGTTGGTTGAAATGTATTGGTATAAATGTTTTGGATGAGCATTTTACATTTTTAGAAATTTTATTGGCAACTTCAATCTGCATACCATCTATTTTATTCCAATTCTAATCTAACCTCGAAGTGGTTCAGAATAGCCAATTAATTTACACATACAGTAAGCTTTGGGAGAGCACCACATTGCCTGCCAATTTATCAGATGAAAACCTATCATTTTCCATTCACTCTTGCTTTTTATACACCAGTTGTCTTTCCTGTGCAAAACCTCTATTCTATAGTTATTCACCAGTATTTCACTGGTATCCTTTGAGTCCTTTGTGTCCCAAAGAGTCCTCTGTGCCCCTCTGTTGACAGTCGACTATCCAGAACCACCCTTATATCTCTTACTTTGTTAGTTCTTAAATTCCTTTCCACATAATTTATAGGTTGTGTGTGGGCATTTTTCTCCTATTCCACATTTCATAACATTGCATTTCCTCGCATTGAATTCCATTTGCCACGTGGTGCTTCATGCACTTATTCTGTCTAGGTCCTTTTGAAAGGCATGACAATCGTCTAAATCACTTCTCATCCCTAGTAGCTTAGTATCGTCAGCAAACATGTTCATATAATTCTGTATTCCTTCTGGTAGAGTGGTTATGTAGACGATGAACAATACTGGTGCAAGAACTGAATCTTGTGGTACTCCAGTTGGATACATTGCCTCGGATTACTGTCCTATCTTTCTGGCAGTTGAAAAATTTGTCATCCATGTCAGTAATCTCTGTCCTATTCCAGCATGTTCCAGTTTCCAAAACAACCTCTTGTACTCACCTAATTGTGCTTGCGGGGGTTGAGCTCTGGCTCTTTGGTCCCGCCTCTCAACCGTCAATCAACTGGTGTACAGATTCCTGAGCCTACTGGGCTCTATCATATCTACATTTGAAACTGTGTATGGAGTCAGCCTCCACCACATCACTTCCTAATGCATTCCATTTACTAACTACTATGACACTGAAAAAGTTCTTTCTAACGTCTCTGTGGCTCATTTGAGTACTCAGCTTCCACCTGTGTCCCCTTGTTCGCGTCCCACCAGTGTTGAATAGTTCATCCTTGTTTACCCGGTCGATTCCCCTGAGGATTTTGTAGGTTGTGATCATGTCCCCCCTTGTGTGGGCCTCAAAAGGCTATTTTAGGCCCAGATAAATAGTTAACCCAACTATCCCTATCCTATAGAATCTGTGGCTCTATCATAATAGCTAAGTAGATTTGTTACACAAAATCTTCCTGTCCAAAAACCATACTGTCTGTTATTACATTATTTCTCTCCAGATATTTTATACATTTGGTTTTAACTATTTTTTCTAATGTTTTGACTACTGTACCATGCTTGTCAGTGATATGGGTTTATAATTTAGAAGGCTCCCATTTTTGTAGATTGGAACCATGTTTGCCTTTTTCCATATATCTGCTAGGATTGCTGTACACAATGATGCCTGGAATATCATTTGAAGTGAAATGCACAGCTCAGTTGCACATTCTCTCAGAACCCAAGATGAAACTCCATCTGGTCCAAATGCTCTATTTCTTCCTAGCTCCTCGAGTGTTTTCCATTTCATCTCGAGACACCTCTATGTGCTCTGCTGGTGTTCTCTGGAATTAACATTGTGTCTGGATCTCTGAGAACCTCATTTTGCACAAACACACTTTGGAACTGTTCATCAGCATATGTAAACCATTTTGGTACCATTTTATACAGACTATTTAACTAACTTTCAATAGATCATAATTCAATATTGTATAAATGTTTTCACAATGATGATATGCCAGTACTAATCTTGTCCTACTAACCCCAATATCTATATCAGAAACAATATCATACATGTTGTCTGCCCTTACTTCAACAAAATTAGAGTGTAAGTCATCTAGTTGGAATTTGATGGGAAGCTCACTGAAGTGGGTAGGTAGGTTGGGCTCCTTATGCTTGAGGGAGGGTTCAGTCGGCAAATGATTGCTGTAGGCCCTCAAAAGGTGATAGTTAATGCTATCCACATTTGGAACTGGCACTGATTCAAGCATCTCTCCTGGTGGGGGAATCTTAATAAAAAAGAAAAAAGTAAAGTGTATCAATTAATAATTTTTTTTACTTTTAATTGTATATTATTCATGAAAGATTGAACTTACAATTATCATCAAGATGTAACATAATATTATGCAACACTTAACAATGTAACTCTACTGGTACTGTATGTAATTCCATTTCCAAGTGCAGGAAATTGAATAGGTGTACATGATCTTTTTAAGAATCTTACAAAATTAAATATAAAATATAGTTTAGCAATAGATAAACAGCTAAGATCTCTTACAAGATAACACTCAAAGTAATCTATTCTTAATTCTTTAAATAAATTCTTACCTCATTAGTTTCCTTAGCCTTCTCAACCCTTTCCTTCCATACTTTCAGACCCTCCTCACCCAATTCTTTCTTCCTCTCTTCCACTCTCTTCTTATCTTCCTGTTCTAACCTCGTGGCTTCAGCTTTGGATGGTACTCCACGAATAGCGACCGAGGGACCATCTAAGAAATACTTGCGGATAAGGTGAATCCAGTACTTGCACGATTCGTGCAAAAGGTGTTCAAACCATCTTTTCTTGTTAAGACGAGTATCGAGCTGAAAATTTTAATACATACAAGTAATTTATGAATTACACTGCTGTAGCAAAATTTCAAAACTGACATTGGAAAACTTTATACAAATATGAATATAAAAAGCAAATTCTCTGCAACTTTGGACACGTGGTAACATTTCCAAAGAAACAACTGATGAATCGATTTGAGGCACATTATTTTGCATCACCACAGTAATTCAAGTAAATGCAAGTAAAATCTAATGTTACCAAATACAGAACTCGATTATTAAAACTACAGTACTATAATTGGGACAGCATCCCTTTTGGTTTATTATCACCATTTTTAGATAAACTGGACTTTTCTGTTATTTTTAAATTTTTTTTTAGTCCAAAATAAAACTTTAAATATACTGTAAATGAAAAGCACCTTCACAAGCAGAATTATTTGTTTGCATACTAAAGCAAGATCATACTATGTTTTGGACATGAATTGTGCAAACAGGCAGAGTGACATGTAGAATGCTGCCACAGGGAATTTTCAACCATCTTAACAAGATACAGTAATATGCATATAGGGAGGTGTTGAATAATTGACCACCACAGGTAAATGCATACAAATTTAATATAAGTACAGTATTGTACCTTGGAGCCTTCTCTTTGATGACAGTTGACTGCCGAACGAGGGTTTGGCAGAGAACCAAGGCTGAACCAAGTACATAGTGTGTGTATGGGAGTCTTACAAAGAATACGCTGATTCATGAATGACTTAATTAATCCACATTACTGCCAAAATTTACCCATGGACTTTGAGACTAGGTACAGTATAAAGATACATACCCAAACACCCTCAAATCTATTAATCTAAAACCACATAAACTGCTGACCAATTTTGTTTACAGCACAGACTTATATTTAATCAAATACCTACAAAACCGCCTTTGAATATCCGCAACATATTATCCAGATCACATTCACACAGTTAACCTAGAATTTTGGACAACTGCAATTCCACTGTATTATTACAAATTGAAAGAGATAACAGCAAAACTTCAACTCGATTAACTTACATCATGACAAGTCTGTCCATAAAGCACATCTCCAATAATGTGGTCAGCAATGGTGTCATGAGGCGAGGTTTCCATACGACTGTCTTGTCTCAACATCAGGTTATTGAGAATATCTTTCATAATTTGCATATTTATTAGAGTTTTACCAGTGGAGAGCTGCTCTAGAGTATCCATAAGGAGAGGTTTCACGTCATCGACCTTCTGCCGGGGAACACCACTGAACTCAAAGTAACAGGCAGACACTGAATTTTCATAACAACTGTGTTGCACCTGTTAATGAGAGGTAAAGCTCTTGAAACATAATTAGGTTAATAAAGATATAAGCTTGCACTTACATAATAATTTGGTAACAGATATGGATCATTTGCATTATTTTTATTTTATTCAAACACTGTTTAGTCCTTACACTGCTGGCAAGAGGGTCATCAACTTCAACAAAAATACTGGGAAGTGGAGACACAGAAGAATGTGTTAAATACTCCATCAAAACTCCCATGCTCAACAACCTGTATAGATACAGAATCATTAATACCAAATAAGAGTATAATTCATGAAAATTATAAATACATTCAATAAAGTACTGTATAAACATTGTTAATCATACCCAATGTAATATTTATATTATTATTTTTTTATAATACATTACAAGCAGAAGCTTCTATTTCATCCAACACCTTCACTGACTATGCACAGATTCACACTGCTGTGTTGAGTCATGCTTTGCATTCTATAGAGATTAACATACAACTCCACACATCAATAATAATGCACTAGAGACATTCAGTCAATGATCGAGTACCTAAACTAACAACTCAACCAGTATATGGTAGAATGAAGAGTGCCTTTACCCCTTTTCCCTAACTTAACTGAAGTGTGGTGGCATCAACTCAGACACACATGCTCATTAATACTGTGGACCCTTGGAATTGGCTTGTTTTGTAGTCACTGCTTTGGATATTTGTGGTTAGCAGCACTACATAGTTAACCATAGGTATAGACAAATAAAAGAAAAAACTAACTCGTTTATTTGGTGAACAGAAGAGGGTCCACGCCATGAAATGACAACCAAGCCAGTGTCTTCATTGTCACTAGGGTACTGCACGAGTTCATCTACCGAGTTCAGCAGAGGTGGCACAGGGCTCTGCCAAGGTCGGGTGTATTTGCCTCTCTCCCCCTGTGGATATATGTGAACAATTTCGTATCAAAGTCATACGTTGTGACAATAATTGGTAGGTCTACCATTCTAGGTCTAGAATGTGAGGTCTATCATTCTAGGCCTACCTGGTCTCAATATAAATATTCACAAAAAATTTATTTATTATGAATTCTTCATTTTGACTGCGAAATGTTATAGAGAGAAAATTTGCTAACAATTTAGTCTCAAAATTATACTGTATATACAATCATTATTGAAATCAAACATGCAAAATCATAGAAACTTTCACCAAAGATGATGAGGGGAGGGAGGGAGAGACCTTGTCCTCCCTCCCCAAGCTCGCAAGTTAGCTGATGGCTGCGGCTTCGTCGTGTCATTGGTTAGCTTACATCACTTTCTGTAAGTGTACGTGTACACTTACAGCATACATGTACACTTACATGTACAGGACTCCCCTTCATATAGTCTAGGGTAGCTGCACAAATGCAGATGTGCCTAAATGTGTTAATAATAAAAAAAAAAATAGGTATTATAACTAAGACAATAAAAGACAAAGTGCAAACATTGAACAATATTCTATACAGGTTTACTTTGTAAAACCTTTCCCTTATCATAACTAATAAGTGCCATGACTGCACTAAGCTTGGGGCTTCCAATAGCATTCAGCTTTTATTTTTCAACTTACCTTTGAAAGTATTTTTTTCTCCATAGGTTCCAGTGCAGCAAATACTTTCTCCAACTCTACTTGACCTGTGATGATTATATTAAGATTTTCTGGACGGTAAAATTCACGATGATAATTGCGAATCTGTAAGAAATGATTTGAATATTAGCAAAATACTCAACTGATACAATAATGAAACACAAGGCATTCAAGTACAAATGACGAGTCACAATAACGTGGCTGAAGATATGATGACTAAACCACGGACCAGAAGATGAGGAGACGACGACGTTTCGGTCCTTCCTGGACCATTATCATGTTGATTACTTAATGCCTGAACTTCCCTCACTCCCATCACAATTGATTTGATAATGGTCCAGGATGGATCGAAACGTCGTCGTCTCCTCATCTTCTGGTCCGTGGTTTAGTCTTCACAAGGCATTCAAAATACATTGGAGTCTTAAAGTAAATGTATTAGCTAATTCTGAATCCTACCATTGCTGCTAAACTTCTGTTGCAACAGCAAACTTTTATTGTCTCTATTTTTGTGATTTTCCTTTTATGAAAATATGACGGAATACATAGCAGATCTTATAATTCTAATTTAACATCAAAATATCCACACTATGTTAACTGTACATACTGAATAAAAACAAATACCATATAACTTTTGAATTGCTTACATTTATCAGCACTATATTTATAATGTATTACAGTACAATATCACATATCTATACATCTAATCAATAAAATCTTGGCACAACTTCGATTAACTGGATTGTAATCTTTCCATTTGACTGCGTAATGAATAATCAAGACATCACTGTAGATTATACAATATACCTTTAAATGAAATGATTAAGGCAAATAATTTGAAAAGGTTCAAAGTTAGATAAGTACGACAAGTGTGAAACTAACAAAGATTATTCTACAAGTAGTATTATATACTTCTATATTTTGCACACCCATTCAGAAAAACAATTTATAGTTTATTAAATTTGAATGTCTTGAGGCTTGTATTTATATCTCAAAGTAGATACTTAAGCAACATCATTAAGCTTCATACACTACAGTATACATACAGTATACAGTTTGAGGAAAATTAATTAACTACCTGTATGTTTACATGTGAATCAAAGCCAAGAATTACTAGTGGAGATCAAAGCCGACTTGCTAGGGGTTCTCTACCTAAACTCCAAGACATGCATGGTGTAAAGATTGGCCTTGCCTTTTCATTTGAAGTGCTCTCACGAAGGTTCTTCAAGATACCACCCGTCTCTGAACGATAACCGCTGGGCTCGGGATACATGGCTCGCAGCATAGCACGGTAGCAGCGGTCAGTGTCAGAATTTTCACGCGCCTGCATTTCTGAATACACAACTCCAGCATCTTCTCCATCACCAGTAATATGATAAACTTCCGTGATAAATCCTGATTCCTGTTTGAAAGAGTTTCTTTAATTTAAACAGTGGCATTATAAAAAAAAAATGTCCTCAGTCTCATAAATGTCAAACATAAAAAAAAACATAAGAGGCATTTCTAGCTCTAAAACAGTTCTTGCAATCATAATGCAAGAAGTTTTGTATGAAGTAATGGTAATTTGCATAAGTGCTACTTGGTTGTTCATGTGATACCAAGTTGGACTTGAAATGGAATGTTTGAGTGAAATTTCTGGAGGTCCCCCCTGTGCCTTACTAGCATCATTATTTTTTTCTTTGGGACCAGAATTGATTATTAGGCAGCTTCAGTGTCATATTAGAACAAAGTTCTTCATGTTCAAAGTCCTATTTTTAGTCCTAAATTACTATAATGATTTCTAATACTATATTAGAGAATACCTGAATATTAATTTACAATATACAATAATTTGTGCAATAGTGAGAGTAGTATCAAAGTGTAAACACAATATAAGCAACCAGTAGTAGAGAAATTGTCTGGCAAGCTTGAGCTTGTGAATGTACCAGACCATCAATGGGGCATTCAATGTTGTATTTTATTTAACCTGTTTGTTTAATATAATAATTTTAATATTTTAATATACAGTACAGGTATTTTAAAAATAAAATTTTTAATATAACAAGAATTTTCCCCTACATACTGAGGTAGATGACAAAATATATAACTAAATGTTGGTGTTATTAAACTATAAAATATTAAAGTACTGTACTCTACACATTTTTTTATTAAATAAAATGTGTCTGGGAACATACTCATGCAAAAACCTGACTGGATATTATGTATACACTAGTGTACATATACACAATGTTACTAGTATTAACCTACTTACGTTATATTTAACTTACAGTAAGCGTAGGATACAGCAAGTGGTCTAGGTAGACTGGCAATAAATTAAGGAAGCCTTCACTGCCTGCTGTTTGGACGGTGTATGCGGTGTGGTCCGTGTCTGTTGAAAAATGTGCACTATACTTAGAGCTTCAATAAAACTAGGAATACAGTATTTATATCAATTAAAATTTTAAGAGCATCATAATAAAATAAAATTGCAGGTACTGTATTGCTATTTAATTTAAATTTAAAATTTTAATTTTATATTACACAACATTTTATTAACTTTTTGGTAATGAACTGTGTGTCCTACTATAAATCTTGCCTCAAATTTGATTTGGAAGTTTCACTTATACATTTTATAAAAACCTGTTAGGAGACTTGCATAATTATTGGAAAGCACCTTATCCGAAATTACCTGTCCAAGCATTAGTACCCGAGGCGAGGCATCGGTTGGCCAGCAGATCAAGGACCCCTTTGTATGGGTAGTCTTCACTTCCCAGGAAGACCAGATGCTCCAGTGTGTGGGGTAGTCCATCATCATCATGTGCTTCAGTTGCTGAAAAACCATTGTTAAATGTTATATATTCAATGCTCAAATAGGAAAGCAAAATTTTAAAATAAAGGTAAATGTTTTGAAAAATATTGATAAATTTAAGACCGTTGCACTTTATGTTTTGTGGACAAACATAAAAGTTTTACTGTAGTACTGTAGAGTACATAGCGAGTACACTGTACTGTAGAGGTACATAGGGAGTATGCAGACGAGGAGTCACAATAACGTGGCTGAAGTATGTTGACCAGACCACACACTAGAAAGTGAAGGGACGACGACGTTTCCGTCCGTCCTGGACCATTCTCAACACAATCGACTCGAGAATGGTCCAGGACGAACCAAAACGTTGTCGTCCCTTCACTTTCTAGTGTGTAATTTGGTCAACACATAGGGAGTACACTGTACTGTAGAGGTACGTAGGGAGTACACTGTAGAGGTACGTAGGGAGTACACTGTAGAGGTACGTAGGGAGTACACTGTAGAGGTACGTAGGGAGTACACTGTAGAGGTACGTAGCGAGTACACTGTAGAGGTACGTAGGGAGTACACTGTAGAGGTACGTAGGGAGTACACTGTAGAGGTACGTAGGGAGTACACTGTAGAGGTACGTAGGGAGTACACTGTAGAGGTACGTAGGGAGTACACTGTAGAGGTACGTAGGGAGTACACTGTAGAGGTACGTAGGGAGTACACTGTAGAGGTACGTAGGGAGTACACTGTAGAGGTACGTAGGGAGTACACTGTAGAGCTACGTAGGGAGTACACTGTAGAGGTACGTAGGGAGTACACTGTAGAGGTACGTAGGGAGTACACTATAGAGGTACGTAGGGAGTACACTGTAGAGGTACATAGGGAGTACACTGTACTACTGAGGTACTTAGCGAGTACACTGTAGAGGTACACTTTGAGTACACTGTAGAGGTACTTAGCGAGTACACTGTAGAGGTACACAGCTAGTACACTGTAGAGGTACACAGCGAGTACACTGTACTAACAAGAGGTACACCAGACCATTAACAGTGTAGCACACACACAAGGGAAGATTACTCACCTAAGGTGAAGTAGCCGCTAACGAGAGGTCCCTCCACCTTGGCGAGGAAGACATGGAGCCCCGTGCGCTTGCTCTTGTACTTGACCACAGGGATCTCCCCGTTGGCCGAGAACTCGCAGATAAACTCATAATGTTGAGCGAGGGAGGTGGTGTTGACAGGCAGGTCGAGGGTGGGCGCCGCCATCACTGCTGACGACACACAAAACTTCCCCGTCAGGGCTCACTAATAAATATTTAATCATACAATTTACATGTTCTGAGGTATGTTACATAGTGTAGGTGTGCAGAATAGGTACAAACAAATACGAAATGATCAGTTTTTTAAAGTTTCATGTATGGGATGTAAGTATTTTGATAGAAATATAATATTTTTGTTGTCATTATTATATAGTGTGGGTGTAGAAGCCGGAGGACCGTGTGCCAGGAGCGACTATTCACCGCTGGGATATTTTTAATTCCCTGTTGTTGGGGGAGAGGAGGCTTGTATTTACGCTTTTAAGGCTCCTCTCCTTGGTCGTTAAATACTGATCTTCCCCGGCATGCTACCCATAACAGTTGCCTAACTCCAGGCTCTCTATTTTACTGGTATTAGTAATTTACTCATAAAAGGGAGTAGAGCACCACACAGGTATGCCAAAATCAACCTCTGGCTGAATTTTCAATAAAACACTGAACTATATGTTTAACAGATCTCAAACCCTGTCAATGGAGGACAGAAGAAACTGAATATATGCTAGTTAGCATTGTTTTCTCTTCAAGCGCCTCAGTGTGGCGATCCAGAGGGGGAATGCTCACTGCATCCTCGGTTCCCTGGCGTTGGGTACGGGTTGAAACCGTACGAAACTGTACGGGTACGAGAACGGGTTGGCGTTGGAGGAGTTCGAAGAAATCTACAGCCTCTACGAAACACACTTTCCCTTATTTCCTCTTAATGTTTACTTTTTTGTAATCAATCATATATGTAACTGTATAACCTTGTATAATAAAGGGTACAACATAAAAAAGGGGTGATAGAAGAAGTGAACACTCATACGTATTCAGAGTTAAATGGCAAGTTTTTCTCTGAATGCTCTGAATTCCCTTCTCCGAAATCATCTCAAGATAACCTCAAGAAGCTATGGGTCCCTAGAATTGCACCAGAGGTGGTACCCCTATATACATATATATTCGCGATTGTGCGTCGAGAACGAATCCGACTGTACTACCGGGACCCTTCAAGTATATCCGGATATACTTGGAAATAACAAATGCCCTTGCCGGGACTAGAACATCCGCTCGCGTGATGCAAAGCAGAGTGCTGTACCACCACTGTACAAAAACATTGGAGTCTTTCTGAAATTCAACCCCCATGCTCAAGTGCATTCGGGTTATGTGGTCAACTATTTCATCTAGTCCAGGTTTAAGCCACGGAACATGAAATATAAAATGATAAACTTTAATAGTACACAGGCCTCACTTTAAATACTTGACAACATAACCCGAATTCACTCGGGCATGAGGTTGAATGAGTTTCATAAAGATTATCCTATGCAGACGACGAGTCAAAATAACGTGGCTGAATATATGATGACCAAACCACGCACTGCAAGATAAGGAGACGACTTGATAATGGTCCATCCTGGACCATTATCAAGTAGATTGTCTATTTGGTAATGGTCCAGCAGGACGGACCGAAACTTCGTGGTCTCCTCATATAATAGTGTGTGGTTTGGTCAAGATTGATTGATAAAGATTAAGCCACCCAAGAGGTGGCACGGGCATGAATAACCCGTAAGGTTTGGTCAAAACTCTCCTATGCTTTTGTATGGTGTTGGTAAAGTGGTACAGCACTTGGCTTTGCATCACGCGAGTGGAGTAACTAGGGCAGGGGGAGGAACATCGTTTCTGATTTTGGAGAGAATGCCTACTGTTTCAGAAACCTTTTTAGTAATTTTTTGTATGTAGCATTGGAAATTGTGTTTGCTGTCAATGTAAACACCGACTGGGGAACTTCCCATCTATAATATACAGGAAGGTACTTCTTCCCATCTTGTCACACGGCTTCGAAATTTGAAAGGAAAACCTGATTATAATTTACTCCTATTAACTACACCGAACTCTTTAAACTAAGCATATTTTTAATCAACCATTTCCATATGTTAATGTTATGACTTATACACTCTGGTAAAGAAAAGTCCCAAAGACCATGCAATCTTCCTATTTGTGAACGGTGGAGAGATATAGTTTATCAAAATTGCAATACTAAGTCTTGTGTTATTATGGTATAAAGACTGAAATGTCAACTTCGAGAAAAGTTCGCGTCTACAAGATTGTTTAAGCTGTGCCTTATAATATAGTGGCTTCATATTGTACCGGTTTGGTACACCTAACCCACCCTAACTTAACCTAACCCAGCCGAGCGAAAAACAGCCTAACCTAAGCCAATACATCCTAGCATAGCAATATACACGGTTTTAACAAACATAAAAAACAGTTTTCTGTTTGAGAAAACGAGTTTCGTCGAATAATATCGTGCCCGAAACGACCATACCCCAACCCAACCAGTATTTACAACGACCGGCTGATTTATTCGCATTTAATGAATTAATTCACACATTAATTCAATAATTCACAATAATTCACACAATGAATTAAATTAAAAGGTCGAAATACCTACTACAATGAGATTTCAACACATGGAGAAAGATCATTCAAAAATGCCGTTCCACTCAACATAAAATTATTGTCATTCTCTTTTCTGCTTCAATTCAATTCAGGCTTTTGATCTCAATTAGTTAAGTCTTAGATTTTCAGTTTTTCCCACATCTTGGCTGATACGCTGTGCGTATTAGTGTTTTTTCGAAACTCGAATTGAAAACCGCGTGACGGATGTGTTGTGTTGACTCTGAGATGCACCTCTAAAGTGTATCTGAAAATCTTCCAAAGTCTTCGGTCACAGGGAGTTATGAAGACTGGTATTGTGGTATTTAAAAGAGTGCGTGCTAGTTAGCACTAGTGTGTGTGTGTGGACAAGCAAATTACAGTGTAAACTTGTGGTTTACGGGTGCCAGTATTTTTTATAATCAGTGTCGTGTCTAGCAAAATTCTGTAAGTGTATTGTGAAGAATACTCAAGACACTAAGGCAGAACACGCCGCTACTGAAGGTTAACGTGACTAAATGGCAATTCGTAGAGAAAGTTTAGTGATTTACTGGAAATAAAAAGGTGGAAATTGGCTTTTACTGCTGTGGCCAAATGACGTACTGGTTGGGTACTCAGTTCTTGCTGTGCTTCTCCTCTCGTACTGGAGATTGAGTTCATTGTGAGTGTTCCGTTAGTGTTGGAAATTCCGCGTTTGTGAACACCTCTCACGACACGTGAGGGAGCACTTCGGGGGGAGTGCTGACCCCTATTGTCTGACTCCACTACGGGCAGCACTGACCCCCATGTCTGACCCCATTACGGGCAGCGCTGACCCCCATGTCAGACCCCACTACGAACAGCGCAACCATCCTTCAGGAGAAGGTAAGCATCACCTCGATCCTCAAGTGTGACCTACGATGTTATATATATGGTATATGACTATAATGTGTATACAGGAATTCCAATAGGCGCTTTAATAATTACTTTTTCTGTCATTACAGGTAAGGCCTTTTTAGCTCATCGCGGGACACAACTCCACCAGCTTAAGGTATGTTCCTCTTTTCTTTCGTTTCCGACGGATTTTTTTGTCAACAATGCTGACCAAACCACACTCTAGAAAGTGAAGGGACGACGACGTTTCGGCCCGTCCTGCACCATTATCAAGTCGATTGATTACAGGACACTGTTACCATAATATAATTATGGGGTAAATCTCATATCCCTGTCATTGGTCCTGGAGACACCGAGCCACCTCCCATTCTACCGGTCCAGGGGGGCGGGGGCGCCGAAGGCCCCCCCCCTTTTATTGGTCTTGTGCCCTTTGAGCGGTTCTGGGGGGCGCCGAGCCCCCCCCCGTCCTTTTACTGGTCCTGGGAGGCGCCGGTGAATTTTGGAAACAGCTTTTGTGAACACTACTCACGACATGTTAGGGAGCACGTCGAGAGTAGTGTTTACGCTGACGCCCTTTGACCCCACTATGGACAGCACTGACCCCACTACGGACACCACAACCATCCCTCAGGAGAAGGTAAGTATTACCTCAAGTGTGACCTACGTCTCCGCCTCATGCATACCAACATGGAGATGGATGTTACCATGCATATGTTATATATATATATGATATATGATTATAATGGGTATACAGGAATTTCAATAGGCACATTAATAATTACTTTTTTTTATTTCAGATAAAGGCTTTTTTTAGTTCATCTTTGGACACAATTCCATCAGCTTAAGGTATGTTCTTGTTTCCGATGAATTGTTTGTGTCAACAAAATATTACAAGACACTCGATTATCATAATATAATTACAGGGAAATATCAAATCCCTGTCATTAGTCCTGGGGGTGTAAAGGCCCCCCCCATTTACTGGTTTTGGGGACACCGAGACCCCCTTTTACTGTTCCTAGGGGCGCCGTAGGCCCCCCCCCTCCTTTTACAGGTACTGGGGGCGTCGGTGAATGCTGGAAATACCACTTTGTGAACACTACTCACGACACGTTAAGGAGGACGTCAGGGGTAGTGTTGATGCTGCCTCCCCTTGTGTGACCCCACTACGGACACCCCAACCATCCTTCAGATGAAGGAAAGTATCACCTCGATCCTCAAGTGTCACCTACGTCTCCATCTCTTGTATACCAACATGGAGATGGATGTGACCATTCAAATGTTATATATATGTGGTATATGATTATAATGTGTATATTGGAATTTCAATAGGCACATTAATAATTACTTTTTCTGTCATTACAGGTTAGGCTTTTTTAGCTCATCTCGGGGGACAACTCCACCAGCTTAAGGTATGTTCCTGCTTTCTTTTGTTTCCGATAAATTTGTTTGTTTTAATAAAATATTACAGGGCACTCAGTAACCATAATATAATTATAAGTAAGTATATGCCATTGGTCCTGGGGGGGGGGGGGGGGGTTGCCGAGGGCCCCCATTTACTGATTTTGCGGACGCCGAGGCCCCCCCCTTTTACTGGTCCTGGGGACTCCGAGCCCCCTCCCCCGCTTTATTGGTAATGGGGGTATTGATGGGGAAGTGGGTATACAAGAACTGTGAGAGTTTGATACATAAGGTAGGAAACCATGAGGATGTAATTAGGTATTTTTTTAGTTTTACTTTTGAACAAGGTATTGGTTGGAACATTTTTTTAATTCATCAGAGAGTGAGTTCCAAAGACTGGGCCTTATTATTTGGATGGAGTATTTGCACAAATTTAGCTTGACTCTGGGGATATCAAGGAGAGATTTATTTCTGGTGTGGTGCTCATGGGTTCTATTACACCTATCAAGGAAAAGTTTCAGATCAAGATTAACATTTAGGAACAAAATTTTGTATATGTAGATAGCACATGAAAATGTGTGGAGTGTATATTAGCATGTTAAGGGATTTAAACAGAGGGGCTGTGTGTTGTTTGAAAACAGTTTGTTTTAATTCTGATAGCAGATTTTTGCTGTGTGATGATAGGCTTGAGGTAATTTGCAGTGGTTGAACATCATGCACAGATACCATATGTAAGATAGGGATAGATTAGTGCGTAGTATAATGAGAGGAGAGCAGAGTGGGAACATAATATCTGATTTAAGAAATTATACCGACAAGATACCGGTTATAGGCATGAAGGCTTGAGTGTTGTTTCTTAGAGTTAGACACATTCAACACTCCAATATTTGTGAGTGTCTGAGGCAGTTACAGACCTCAAAGTATCTCTTGCCATTTGTTCTGAAATCATTTATTACAGAGAAATCACAATAGATATGCTCAGTTCTTGCCCGTAATGGAGTGCGTATTAGTGGCTTTAGGTATAATATGTAGTGTACTAGCTCTTTCTAGAAATCCAACATTCCGTCTGTAACTTATCTTGTATGTATGTATGTACTTTTACCTGAATAAACATTTTATTTTATTTATTTATTTATTTATTTATTTATTTATATAGTGTTGGAGAATGTCCAAATTTGTTTGTATCATAAATCGTTATATCGTGCTTTCTTTCCTTTGAGAGTCAATGACTGCTCTTCTGCCGTACCTAATTTCCTGAAAAGTGTGCGCTTTACAAGAAAGAGTGGATTATCTAGGCCAAAATTGAGCAGAACGTGTATTGAAATAATAAAAAACTGGCCTGACTTGAGTGTACGCAAAAATTTAAAAACAGAAAACGGCATACCAGTTACATTAGAGAAAACGAATTCGTCGTTTCGGGAGTTTATATTAAAAAATGACGTTTTAAGCAATATTCTAAGCAATATAAGTAGAACTTTGTACTATTCACTTTATAAGAGTCAGAAAAAATGAAGCTAATAACAAACTTAAATATTTCTAGGCCTAGTATAGCGCACACGTGTTAGATTTAGATTTAGATTTTTTATTCAGGTAAAAGTACATACATTGAAGATGAGTTACAAACATAATGTTGGATTTAAAGATAGAGCTAGTACATACATTACCTAAAGCCACTAATACGCATAGCGTTTCGGGCAAGGTATGGTAAAAAAAACCAGACCAAAACTTAATGTTTTACTTAATGTACTATATTAGAACTTAATGTGCTATATTAGGCCTTGAACTTTTTTGCTCAGGGAAAATAAGTAGTCATTCGGCTGTTTAAACTTCTTGTGTTGCCCCATCTGGATTACTGTATACCAGCATGGAAAGCTTACCTTCGTAAGGTCATAACTGCACATTCGGCAGACCTAGTCTCACCCACACCAATAAAATACTGAATGTAAGACATAACTACTGACCGCTTCTTTAAGAGGTTCAGTGTAACTCGTACAAAAACCAACAGCTTCAAACTGTTGTATTTTTGTTTTGTATTAACTGTTGGTTAATACCACAATATAAGATAGATAGCAGGACGATCTTTTTCACCTATCTATTGCTATTTAGAGAATATCTGTGTGTGTGTGGTCGCGGTTGGAGGCGTGGGGATAGCCTTATCAAACTTTGCAGGGGTAATTCTGGTCTTTGTTCGGGGACGGTTATAGGCGGGCTGGGGCTCACTCCGGTGCCTCCTCCCTGTCCATGAAATGGCAAATTACACTAATTTCTAATCTTGCTAAATATCAGACTCCCATCCGTATTAAGATTCATTGTGTATATTATTTTCTTGATTCGGTGTTTGTTTTAGGCAGTTTATTGATAAAGACGGTGTGTAGTGAAGATAGTTAAGTGATAAAGAGTAGGGAAGGTGGTGAAGGATATGAAAGATGATGACGTGTAGGGAACGTGGTGAAGGACAGCTAAGGTGGTGAAGGGGAGGGAAGGTTGTGAAGGAGAGTGGAGGTAGCCATGATCTCATCCAAACCTTTAACATACTAATCAAATTAGAAAACATAACTTCAGACTAATTAGAAAAGTGAAGCAGAAGATTTTCTAGAATTAATTGACGATTGCTTTCTTACGCAACACATTAAGGAACCAACACGGGAAAATAATATTTTAGATTTAGTGTTAACAAACAGGGAAACGCAAATTAATGACATCGAAATAGGGAGTGAGCTAGGGAGCAGTGATCACAAAGAAATCAGATTTAGCATAGAATGGAATAGACCAGTAGGAGAAAATTCTGTTAAAGTGCCAGATTTTCGAAAAGCTGATTTTAATAGCCTAAGAAATTTTTTGGGTCAAATTGATTGGAAAGTCTTGGGTATGGGGTGTGGGCCGGTCTTGGAGCGAGACATGAACCCAGCGATAGGTGACTTAAATGGGGATTTCGATGTGGATTCAATATATAACTTATTTAAGAATATTCTAAACAAAGCACAGGAACGTAGTATACCATACAAATTGAATAGATCGAATACTAATGACCCAAAGTGGATAACAAAGAATTTGAAGAACCTTATAGGTAAAAAGAGAGCTTGGTACAAAAGGATTAAAAATGGGGAGGTCACTTTAGAACAGGAATTCGTACAACTGGTTAGAAATGTTAAAAAGAGATAAGGAAAGCAAAAAGAAACTATGAAGTTCGCATAGCAGGGCAAGCAAAGACAAATCCTAAAGGGTTTTTTCAGTTATATCGTACTAAGACTAGGGAAAGGATAGGTCCATTAAAAACTGAGACAGGTCAAATAACAGATAGTGATGAAGAGATGAGTAGTATTTTTAATAAATATTTTGTATCTGTATTTACTAAAGAGGAACTTAACAATATGCCTTCAGCCGAACAAGTCTATGTGGGTGGGGACGAGGACAGGTTGACGAGTTTAGCAGTTACCAGGGAGGATGTTCTTAAACAAATAGTAAAACTCAAACCAAACAAATCCCCAGGGCCGGATGAAGTGTTTGCCAGGGTGCTTAAAGAATGCAAAGAGGAGCTTTGTGACCCACTGTCAACCATATTTAATAAATCAATAGAGTCAGGCAGAGTGCCAGAGTTTTGGAAAGTTGCTAATGTGATACCAGTTTTTAAGAAAGGAGATAGATCACTTGCGTCTAACTATCGACCAATTAGCCTAACGTCTATTGTGGGAAAGTTACTCGAATCTATAATAGCAAATAAAATTCGTCTTCATCTTGAAAAACATAAATTAATAATTGAGTCGCAACATGGTTTTATAAATGGCCGTTCATGTTTAACAAATTTGTTATCTTTTTATTCTAGCATTGTTGAGGCAGTTGATAGTGGTAAGGATTGCGATGTTGTATACCTTGACTTTAGCAAAGCTTTTGATACAGTGCCACATGAAAGACTGATTAAAAAAATAGAGTCTCATGGTATTGGGGGTGCTATATTAAGCTGGATTAGGGCATGGCTATACCAAAGGAAACAGAGAGTTAGTATAAATGGAATCAAGTCAGAGTGGGAAAATGTTGTAAGTGGAGTGCCTCAAGGCTCTGTCCTGGGACCTCTGTTGTTTATAATATATATAAATGATTTAGATTCAGGTTTGAGTAGCAACATTTGCAAATTTGCCGATGATACGAAAATCGGTAGGGAAATTAATTCGGAGGAGGACTCACTATCACTTCAAGTTGATCTAGATAGGGTTTTGAAATGGTCAAAGGATTGGCAGATGCAGTTTAATGCTGATAAATGTAAAGTTCTGAGGTTAGGTAATGATGATAGAGTTACAAGATACGAGCTAGATGGTGTTGTGATTGCGAAGTCGGATTGCGAAAGGGATCTGGGAGTTATGATTAGTAAGAATTTAAAACAAAAGGATCAATGCATAAATGTTCGTAATAAGGCAAATCGGACACTTGGATTTATTAATCGCAGCGTTAGTAACAAGACACCTGGTGTGGTTCTCAAGCTATATCTTGCTCTAGTTAGGCCCCATTTAGATTATGCAGTTCAGTTT